ACTTAAGAACATTTAATACTTATCTTGCAACTCAGAGTTAAATCACTAAAATTGTATTAACACGGTAAAAATCAATTAAACTTGAAGAATTTTTAAAATAAAACACAAAAGTACACAGCTAAAAAAATTACGGCTAAAGAGCTTGAAGTGTTGCCCCTTGCAATTAGACAATTTTTGGTCACAAGGTGGCATACTTTAACGTATTATTCACGATTATACCCCGATATAATCATTGTAGCTTGATATGCATATGGGAAGTGAAAGAATTAGATGAAATTGAAAATGGTGTTATATGGAAATAGGCGTGGTTGTAGTGTGATTTAGCCCATTTTCGAACTATAACATAGAAATATGAAAGAACGTCATGCACCGAATTTGGTTGAAATCGGTTAAGCAGATCCCAAGATATGGTTTTCATCTAAAAGTGGGCGGTGCACGCCCACTGACTAATTTTGAACGCGGTTCCTATAAAGTCATCTCATACCATCCCAGAGATAAAATTTAATGTCTCTGGCGTGTTTAGTGCTTGGTTTATCGCGCTTTAGTATCGGCTTGTCACCCGATTACACCCATTTTCACACCGTCAATAGAGGTTCTAAAAACATTTGCTTCCAGTGATTTTGTTATTATAGCATTATCGGTTTAGGAGATATGCACAAATTAAACTGCGATGCCCCTCCTAATGTGATCCTGTGTACCAAATAATAGTCTTGTATTTTATTGCGGAGCTTAGTATGGCAATTTATTGTTTTTGATTAATGGCGTTGTGGGCGTGGCAGTGGTTCGATTACGCCCATCTGCAATACCAACCTTCTCACGGTACCGAGAAACATGTCTACCAAGATTTATAAAGATATCTCAATTTTTACTAAGTTAGAGCTTGCACGGACGGACGGACAGACAGTCACCCGGATTTCAACTCGTTCTTCATCCTTATCATTTTTATATATAACCCTATATCTAACTCGATTAGTTTTAGGTGATACAAACAACTGTTAGGTGAACAAAACTATTACACTCTGTAGCAACAGGTTGTTAGCAACAGGGCGAATCGGAATACAACCATCTTCTCTCCTGTAGTTTTGTTCACCTAACGGTTGTTTGTATCACCTAAAACTAATCGAGTTAGATATAGGGTTATATATATATAAATGATCAGGAGGAAGAGACGAGTTGAAATCCGGGTGACTGTCTGTCCGCCTGTCCGTCCGTGCAAGCTGTAACTTGAATAAAAATTATGATATCTTAATGAAACTTGGTAGACATGTTTCTTGGTACCGTGAGACGGTTGGTATTGCAGAAGGGCGTAAGCGGACCACTGCCACGCCCACAAAACGCCATGAATCAAAAACAAATAAATTGCCATAACTAAGCTTCGCAATAAGATACAAGACTGTTATTTGGTACACAGGATCACATTAGGGAGGGGCATCTGCAGTTAAATTTTTAATCTCTCCTCTAAAAGGTTTAATGTGCATATCTCCTAAACCGCTAATGCTATAATAACAAAAATTCACTGGAAGCAAATGTTTATAGCACTTCTATTGACGGTGTGAAAATGGTTGAAATCGGGTGACAACTCCGCCCACTCCCCATATAACGGTACTGTTAAAAACTACTAAAAGCGCGATAAATCAAGCACTAAACACGCCAGAGACATTAAATTGTATCTCTGGGATGGTTTGAGATCAAAATTAGACAGTGGGCGTGGCACAGCCCATATTTCTATGTTATAGTGTGAAAATGGGCGAAATCGGACTACAACCACGCCTATTTCCCATGTAACACCATTTTCAATTCCATCTGATTCTTTCACTTTCCACTATGCATATCAAGCAACAATGATTATAGCGGGGTAAAACTTTGCGTGAATAATACGTTTAAAGTAACCTTGTGATCAAAAATTGTCTAAATCGAACCGAAACTGTTTAAGCCCCTAAGTACTAAATATGTGGACCCCAGTGCCTATAGTTGACCTTCTACCGAAAATATCAGTCAATCCACAAAGAAATCTCAAACGAGTATACTATTTGACTTTGCGAGAGTATAAAATGTTCGGTTTCATCCGAACTTAGCCCTTCCTTACTTATTTTCGTACAAAACATTATTTTTTGTGTTCTTTGATGCAAAATATTGAACAAGTATTTTTTTATTACGACTCAATATGAACAATTTTGTAGTTATAAGTTTCCAAAATTTCAACATTTGAAAAAAGTATCTTTAAACATTTGCGTATACGAAGAAAAGTATAATAAAAATATCCCTATTTTTTAAGATTTTTTCTCAGCTTTCTAATGGGATAAATGTTGAGTTTTTTTCAAATGTAGAACCAATTTTATTCAGTGTTTTTTTATGAAAACTGTACATTAGGCTCTTCAATCACGACTGAATAAATTTTTAATCTTTAACATCCGCGTGGCGAGCGTGCGATTGTTCGCACTCTATCGCTGCGAAGCATGTTTGATACAGCATGCCATTACTTCTCGCGCTGCACGCGTGGAAAAAGCTCAGTGTGCTAAATACAAACACGAGAAACATAGTTTCAAAAATTTGTCAAAATTACAATTTTATTCAGTCTACTCCGAAATTTACAAATTAGTAAGTGAAGAGCCTAATGTACATTTTTTATTAAAAACACTGAATAAAAACAATTCCAAATTTGAAAAAAAAATTATTTTTTTATTAAACAAATATACACATATATATTTTATGGATACATTGTGCTGCTCTCCCTCATATTAACTGATTGCCATTATAGACCAACTCAAATTAATCGAATAGAAGCTTCTATCTGCAGAAAACGAAAAACGGCACATAAATGGAACTTAAACGATTTTAGAGACAATAATATTTACCAGTTACTTGGACTTCAGCGAAAATGTAATTAAGAATATGAAGTCCTGGTTTGGCGAAAAGTACGAGCAAATAAAAATGCCGTTCCCGCGACAGTCGGGTCTACGTAACCGGAACGGACCCGGATTTATTGTGGCCAAGGACTGTCAACTCGGCAGAATTCTGCCGCTACAGCAACAACAGCAGCAAATAAAAATGCTTTATGGCATGTAGGGTGCTCAGACCTAATGTTGTTATTTTTAATCTTATCAACATAACGTAAAAAAATTTAATATATCTATAAGTAGGTGATTGTGTGTCATAGAGTCGGAAAATAAATTGAATTAAAATTTAATTGTAGTTTTTTATAAACTATTAGTACCAAAGTGAGCTCTAACTTTTTAATGAACACATCTGAACATTCTTACTATGTACATATTAGTGGTGGTATTACAAACAACCATTAAATAATGAAAATAAAATGTTTTAAATTGAAAAAATTTTGAAAATTACTTACTACTTGGATGTATTATGGTTCGACTATTGCGAGTATTTTTATCTAAACTGGATGTATTGCAAAACTCCATTTTTCCTGACGCTGCTAAATTTACCAGCGTTGCCTGAATAGCTGCTTCAGTATTGTTAAAGTTGGCAACATTGCCGGCCTTTGAATTTCTTACTTTTTCTGCCACTTCGATCAATGGTTCATCAGAGTCAGAAGATTCCTCACATTTTCTGCTACAGCTGATTTTTGAGACATCCTGCACATCATTTGCTGAAGATAAATCATTCATATTCCTCACATTATCATCAACAGCAACATTGCTTGTAGCGCTACTTATACTGCCTGTCCGTAAACGCTTTTGTTCAGTACATTCATTGAGTTGAGAGTTATTAGCACTAGTATCAGATTCTTGACGCTTACGCTTATTCCCTACACCAAACTGAGTTTCACTACCAGAAATTGTCACACTTAATTGTGGGCTGACACTACCAATTGAAGACGCTCGCGTTGTATTAAGTTGTTTGATGCCAGTGACTACAGAAGAATTTGCATTTGATTCATTCGATGTTGGACTTGATTTATTTATATCCACGGGACTTTCCAATCGACTACTAGCACGAGTGCGAATTCGATTACATTCCGTTTCGCTTTGCGTTGGAATTTCAATAGATATAGGAGGGTAAATAGAATCCGAACGTTGTGAATAAATATTTGATTCATCCCCTTGTTTTTTAGCTTCAAATATTGTCTTGCCTCCATCATCTATTGACAGGTTTTCACTGGCCTTCACATTAAGTTTCCTGGAACAAATTGGTTTTTCTACACTAATCTCCGATTTATATTTATCATCTAATACAATATTTCTTTCTGTATATTGTGAAGAGTTCTTTTCTTTAGGGGTAAGGGATTCAATTATTTGTTCCGATAATTCATTTTCATTATTATCTGTTGAAGTTTCGGTAATATGTTCTAATAACGCTCCATTTATTGTACCTTTGATTTTGGAAGGAGATATCGCGTTTTTTGTGATTACAATTGATTCAGAAGGCATTTGTTCAACTGTGCTAACAATAGTTGATGCATTTGAGTTAACTTCCAAATAATCTTCATGAAATCCTTCCATTCTGGCCAAAGCCTTTTCAATTTCGTCATCTGTATAATCCAACAAATTATCTTTTCTTTGTGGTTTTAAGTTTAATTCGAGTTTATTTTTCTCATTTATATTTTTGGTATGATCTACTTTTTCTTTCGATATATTGTTTTTCAAAGAATTTTTTCCGTCACTAGATGTTGCTGCTGATTTTTCATTGCTTGTACTCCCAACACTACCGCTGTTTATCTGCTGTTGAGTTGGACTACTAGACGATTGTTGATGAGGACTTTTTTCTGATAACGCATCCATAGACTCAATACCACTATCCTCGCCTGTTCCATTTCCATTACCATGACCAGGGGTACCACTTCCGTTACTTGCCGGCGAGTTACGAAGCGTTACATTAATTAGAGCAGGTGGTGAAGTACCAACTGCATTTCCTTGATGACCTGATACAACAACGTTATTTACACTTACGGTTCCATTGGTTACAGGTATTTGAATAACTGGAACAGATTCACCTTGCACAGCTTCATGCGATTGGTTCTTGGTTGTTGGTAAATTTGAATGAGATATTTTGACTTCTGTTTTCACAATGCTTTCAGCTTTAAAAGTAACACTTTCTGATTTATCAACTAGATCATCTTGTTCTACTGAAGATTTTGGTATTGTAACTCGTTTTAGGGTTGTTGCACTTGGCAGCATAGTTGCTACTGCTACAATTGTTTCCTGTGCTGATTGACTTTCATTAAGAGCTCCAAATTTCGCTTGCTTCTGCAACTGTTTTTGTTGATGCTTTTGAAGTTGAAGTTGATGAACAGCTGTTATGTAAGACGGTGGTTTGTGATTTTTTGTCAGTGGTTTACCTCCACCCATACCAATAGGTGTAATTGTGGCTGGTGTCTTTAAATTCATTGTATTTATCACACGATTTGGTATATTTACAGAATTATCACTGGAGCAAGTTACTATATTATTGTTAGATAACGTATTAGTTATGGTACCAGGTAAGCTTGATGGATCTTTACAAGTTTGTGACAGTTGATGGGACGTATGTTTTTGATATTGTGATTGATGCATCAATTGTGGTGGAAACGGTAATGTACCTACATTAGTCGAACCAATTATTATATTTTTATTGTCATTTAAGCTACTACCGCTCTTTGTATCAAGCGATTTAATTGCACTTATTGTGAGTCCATTCTTGTTACCCAAGAAGGAAGGCGTTGTCGTTGACGTTGCTGACGATGAAAGATCATCACTCGAAATCGGGAATGTTGGTAAACGTGCTGATGTCATTAGTGTGACGGAATTGTTGCCGCTTCCACTACAGTTAAAGACTGATGATGTAGGGTTTGGGGAAATATACAAATGCTGCATTTTCTCTTGAGTCCTAATCTCTGTACACACATCTGACATTTGTGACTGTTTATTAGGTATATGCTTAGAACCAACATCTTCACCATCTTCACTCGATACAACTGACGACGTATTTGGCAAACTCTGTGGTTTCTTACGGTCTTTTCGACTACTTTTAATCACAATTGAATTTTTGCCACCCCTTAAACTGATGTGTAATGGGGGTACTCGTGGTTCATCAGTTGAACAATTCGGAGTAACATTTACAGCTATTTGCGGAGGCTTAAAATTTGTGAAATCAATCGTTTGGTGTTGTACAACAGAAGAATTATCTTGCGGATTCTGTAGCTGTTGAGAAGAAACCGATAAAACTGTGGTATTTTGGTTTATATTCTTGTTAAGTAGAACACTATTATTACTTTTAGTTGGTACGTTTAACGTGCTCGACACTGGCGTTTCCGATGCTGAAAGTGGTGGTGAAGGTACAAATGAAATATCTACTTTATAGGCAGGAGATACCGGTTCCTTCTTTTCCAATTTTAAGCGTAATTTTATTTTCTCATTATTAATACACACTGCTGATGTTCGTTGAGTTGCCAATATGGATGCAGATTCCGATAACGTAGTAGAAGGTATTGTATTACTAGATGGCAATGCAGTAACCGTCTTCGATTTGGCATTTGCTTTTGTTCTTTTAAGTTTTGTCACTCCAGAAGTGGTGTTTGCATCTTGCTTTTTTTCCTTTAAGTTATTCTGTTGCTTTTCTCGTAGCGTTGTTGACTTTGATTTTTTTTTAAGAGTAGCCGACGATGTCGTTCCAGTGGTAAAAATTGCATTCGGTGATTTAATCGTACAAAAGTCAGTAACATTGTTAAGAGAAATAACTGATTTGTTGAGCACATGAGTGCCATCTCGTTGAGCTTGTTTAATGCTTCGATTCGATTTGTTGAAAAGTAACGAATCAGGTGAGCGTTCTGTATCACTTCCTACTCCAGGTATGATTCGGTTATTTTGTTCACTGTCTGAAGGTTTTGACACAGAGGTTCCACATAAATTTGAATCATTCAACAGAGAATTGGGTAAACCTTCGATAGATTGATTACAACTAAAACTTTCAATTAATGACGACACTGCACGAGATATTTTTGACATAGAATTAGTTTGCTGAGTTTCCTGTTCTGCCTCTGTTTCACTGTCATCACTTTGCATTGGTTCCATTTCACCGGTCAGAGGATTTATTAAAAATTGCTTCTGAATAGAGAAGTCCTCCGCTCCATCCCTTGCGTTACTTCGGTGAAGCGCAGGCTCCTCTTGAAAATTTGAATGTTGCGCAGGTTGTATAGAAGGGGAATATGTATTATGGGGTAGCTGCAATTTCTGATTAGATTGATTATTTTGCATAAACACATTGTCTTCCGGTTTATATCGATTTTGCATAACTTGATCCCGTGATAGAATATTATTTAGTTGCACTTGCAACTGATTTTGTTTAGTGGCCACTATGGTGCCATCAACCATATGATTTTGTATGTTTTGTGATATTTGCCCATTTTGTTCAAAGTGCATTGGATTAACGCCAAGTGGGACGTGTCCGGCTTCTGCATTTAAAAGCGATGATGCTGCAGCCGCTGTCTCATCAATATCTACTCCTACAGCAGATAAATTTTCCTCAATTAGATCCAAGTCTAGATCTTTCGCATCTTGCAAAAGTGATTCCAATTCATTTTTATCATCCAAACTAAGAGTTGAATCCAAATCACAGTTTAATGTTGGTAGCAAAGCATCAAGATCATTTGTTGTTAAAGCTTCAAAATCTGATAGAGTTATTAAAGGATCTGATAATGCATTAGGTGCAACATTATCCATCGAAGATTCTCCCACCAATCTTCCAATTGTATTCCCTACCTGACTGGATGAATGATTGTTAAATTGCTGTTTTTGCAAATCTTCCTTATTTGACTGCGATTGATGATTAGTATTCATTTGTTGTTGCTGTAAGTTGTATTGCATTTGGTAACGAGCAAACTCCTGGAAACTACTCTTAGTTTCAGAATCCATCATTTTGTTACTTACAGGCCAGCCTGTTGTCGCACTAGCTGTCTGATTATAATCAGGTGGTGGAGGTATTGTATTTGTCAAAGAGGCACTGCTACCAGTACTGGATCTCGCTGAGGATAAAGATGATGCTAAAGGTACTTGTGAGTTGTGATGAATATTAACACTTTTAGATGACGGCGATAATGCTGGGGGTAAAATCATCGCCGTCTGATGTTGTAATTGATTATGTTGCTGCTGTAGTTGCAACTGATGCGATTGCTGTTGACTAATATGCTTATGTGCATGTGGCGTATGCGGGTGTGGAGATTGCACTGGCGTTGTAGAGGGCGACAACATTTGCTGTTGGTGTGAGCCCATTAACGGACTATGCATTGAATGGTGGCTAGAGGCAGGTGAATGCGACGCTGCAGGTGACATACTACCGGAAGAAAGAAACTGAAGTGTTTGTTGCGATTTTTGCTGCACAGCAACGTGTCCTGTCAATACACCTACGGAACGCGCTTGCCGTACATTTGGTGATTGCAGATGATGCAAATTAGTTAACATTATTCCACCATCACCATTTTGCATAGATGCCTGATTATTATGTATTATTTGAGATTGCTGGAACGATTGTTGTTGCATTAAACGTTGCGAAGGAGTACCTGGAATCGAAACAACAGCTGCCTGCAACTGTTGTTGGCGTTGTTGTCGCAAAAAATGGTTTTGTTGAGATGAAATATGCTGCGCCTGAAAGTTAGATTGAATTTGGTGATGCCCAAACAAATTGCTTACAGGGCTTGTCAAGATTGTTTGCGGTTGTTGTTGATGTAAGTGCATGCTCGTATTAACGCCGGTCGATAAAGACACACCCATTGCTGAAGTTGTACCCATCAAAGTATTTTCCGAATGTAACAATTGTGTCTGTTGTTGTTGTTGAACTTGTTTGTGGTCTAGTACTGTGTCGTTAGGTGTTGATTGCGTTCGCATTGGTGAACTCAATAACTGTTGATGTTGGCTTTGATTTAACTGTTGCTGACTCGTGGATTGTAACGGCGATGTTTGCTGTTGCGCCAATGAAGTTTGTGGCGACAATTTTACTTGATTTGTCGTCGTATTTCCATCATTTTGTAATAAATTCACAAGCAGCGGTGAGGAAATTGCAATATTATTATTATTGGTCGTAGAATTAGTTACTGGAAAAGTCGTCACTGGTGGACCTCCCATACCTTTTTGTAAATAGTTTTGAACTGTTTTGTTTATTTGAGCGAGAGGTTTGTTTGTAACGTTTGATGTTACTGTCCCTATACCTGGATACGGGGGTGGTGGAGGTTGCAAAAACTGTAGTTTATTACCAGCTAAAACAGTAGTTGAAGGCAAAAGATCCACATTGGAAGAATTTTTTATAACTTTTAACGGTACATTGGGACACGATACCAAACCACTTGTACGTTCTATTTGTCCATTTTGCGGCATTTGTAAAGATTGTGAACCACTTGTTGAAAATACTTGATTAGAATTTACTAGACTATTATTCAGTGCATTTTCCCGACCTTGTAAAACACGAGCTTGTCTCATACTAACAAATGGATAATCCCTATTATTTGAACCGCTATTTAAATTTGAAGGTATTGGTGGTACTGGAACTTTTCCATCCATAGGACAAACTGTGTTTGGCGGTTTGAAGAGTGGTTGGCCTTGAATTAACTGTCGCTGCAGGTTTGGGTTTGGGTTTTGGTTTTGATGTTGTTGTTTTTGTAGAATAGCTTGCGCTGCATTGCTTGTACTTGGACCCCCAAGCAGCATATTACGCCTTTCCTGTACCAGCTGATTTTGCTGTAATTGTGATGACGTAAGTACTCCTTTATTAGTAAGGTTGGTGTTTTGTGCAGGGATGCGACATTGCATTTGTGATTGCAAAAGTGTTCCACTTCTAAACTGATCGCTAAGACACCCGACACTCCCCCCAGTATCCAACAGTTGTGTAAAATCGCCCACCGTCTCACCCGTGTCGCTCGATAAACCTTCCTCGTCATTATCTAAACAATATTTAAAGATATTTTCCAAAATCTTTTTTAATTGAAATAATTACAACATACCTATAGTTTTTAAATTGATCTCCTGTCCGGGTAATTTTATGGATATCACAGAATCGCCATCCAACTGCACAGACATAATACCAAGAGCATGGAGGGCTGGATTGCCCTCCGCTGCCATCTGGCGTAACCGTTGAGCCGCATCCTTCGGGATTTGCACTGTTATCCGCACGCAAGATTCAATCTGCTATCAAATAAAAATTTTAAGCATTTATTACAAAGTCGGCAATTACAAATACAAAAATTTGATCCTACTTCATAATATTCTTTTGTATCTCTTGATTTGACGGTACAGGTGGTTTTTATATATTTTTGGAGTGCATTTTCAAAATTAATACTAGTTTTTGAAAACAGATATTTATTACCATAAATTCTAGGTATATATTACCCATATCCACCCAAGAAAACATTTCGAGTATCTAGAAGTAAGGTATATAAATTGTAATATGCAAATATTGGCTCCTAAAGTCTAAAAATCAAACTAATTTCACTGTTTAAATAATCGAACATTGGGTCGATATTGGTAAAAAAAAACACTAAAAAAGTATGGAACAAATTTAATGATAAACGCGTAACGGTAACGGAAATGCCAAATCCGATACAAGCATATTTTACGGTTATAGGGAAACTCTTTTATCTGCTATCGCCCCTTTAGTCGGAGTCAAATTTAGAATTATTTTTTTTTAATCGGATATGAACACATATAGGGCTTTCCAATAAGAGTAATATGATTTAAAAAAAAAAAAGCACTCTAATTGTTAAGGAAATTTAAATTATTTTTTATTTAATGAATATAACATCATTCAATTAGCCTCCACGACTTTATTTGCAGGAACGAGTTCGATGAACCCAATTTTCGATGTCGCACGTTCAATAATGACTTCTAAAGCTTGAATAGTCTGGTTTATTGCTTAAAACCAATGGCTTCAAATAACCCCACAAGAAGTAGTCTAATGGTGTTAAACCACAACTTCTTGGAGGCCATTCAATGTCACAATTTCTTAAAATTATCGCATCTCCAATCATTTCTCGCAATAATTCGGTTGTTGCACGTGCTGTGTAGCACGTAGCCCCGTCTTGTTGGATCCAAATGTTGTCAAATCAACTTCTTATAATTGCGGCCATAAAAATTTGGTTATCATCGATCTATACCGCTCTTCATTGACAGTAACGGTGTCACCAACTTCATTTCGAAAGAAGTACGGACCGATGATTCCACCAGACCAAAAACCACATAAACTGTCAATTTAGGTGAATGTAATGGTTGTTGATTAATAATTTGAGGATTTGAATAGTTTGTAAACGTTGTTCTTTCATATATATTTCCATGATGAAATTGTAAGCATTAGTGAATACGATGCAAAAAAATTACAGATCATGGCATATTAAAAATGGACCAAACGACACTTAGAAATCGTATCATGCCTATTGGAAAACCAGATACAAAGTCCAAACACCAATTAAATACATATGTATGAATAGGTATTGACTATTTCGAAAACGTTTATGTTGCTTTTGAATGAATACAGGCATATCAACAATTTGAATTAATTTTGCTTTGCTATAAATCGCCTTAATTTTTGCAATCTATTAGATTCTTAACTGTCAAAACTAATCTTTTGACAACGTAATGACCTAAAAAAGTACAATAATTACTAATTAATATTTTATTTTGACTATCGATGGTTTATGCCTCAACTAAACTTACCATAAATGGTCATAAAATTGCAAAATTTCATATAATATAAATAGCTACGTATTGATATAGTCTAGTAATACCTAATTTTGGATAACATGGTAGCACTTAAAATCATCTTTTCATTGCTTGGTTGCGCGCATATAGTTTAAAATTTTTGAAATAATGTACAAGTTATTAAATTTAACTATTTTTTGCACTTTAATTATGAGTTCGAAGGAGTGTTACGGAAATATTAACAATTGATACAGAATCACAATTTTTGACGCCACAGTTTTCCAGTTTAATAGGTATTCAACAAGCATATTTTGGTGGAATAAATCATATTACATCAGGTAAGTGAATAAAAAATGTTACCTTTTGAGCAGACGAGTTATACTTCTCAGAGCAGTTTATATAGTAACATGAAAAATTGTATATGTAACTTTATTACCCCCCCCACCCCGTTATTGTTAATATTTTGTTTTATAAATCCAAAGTTTATTTCATACAAATGAACTGTACAAAGCCAAGGTCTCTTAATTAAAACCAGTAGTAAGTAGATTTCAAGGGGAAAAACTATCGACAGTATTTCGTTAAACTATCGAGTAGTCCGACTATGGATAATTTTCCAGCTTTATTTTGCAACAAAATTCTAAATTATGTATATGCATTTCTGCAATAATCTACTATTTACGAGGTTTTGTTCCATAATTATATTTTCAAGGGATAGCATTACCAAAATAGTAAACTTCAACAGGAAGTTCAAAGTTACCCTTGGCAGCAAGTCTGAATGGAATAATTTATCACTGGACCTGGTGCTAAGGGAAAGCACTATCAAGTGGTACACCGACGGGTCGAAAACGGAGGAGGGGATTGGTGCAGGGGTCGCTGGGCCAAGCACCAAACTCTCCATTCCCATGGGAAGTTTCCCGAGCATCTTCCAAGCCGAGGTCTATGCTATAAGTCCGTGTGTAGGGATAAACCTCCAACGCAACTATCGCAATAAAAGTATTGCTATACTCAGCGATAGTCAGGCGGCACTAAGAGCTATCTCTGCCTATGAGGTCAGATCTCTTCTAGTGCTGGAGTGTATAGAACGGCTGAACAGCCTATCAGAGCACAACCGAGTGCACCTTATTGGGGTGCCTGGCCACAGGAGTCTATCGGGGAACGAACTGGCTGAAGAGTTGGCCCGCTCTGCGGCCTCTACAAAAATGGTAGGACCGGAACCATTCATAGCGGTTGGCCCACATACAATTAAATAGCTCCTCCGTAGGGAGGAAAGAGTAGGTAGGGAGACACATTGGCAACAACTTTAGGGCATGCACCATGCCAGACTGCTAATAGGGGGTTACGACCTCAAACGGTTCAAAACCATAATTAATCTCCCGAGGAACAAATTCCGGCTACTTGTCGCGTCCTACACCGGCCACTGCAGGCTTAAGAAGCACCTCTTCAACATGGGTGTAGCCTCTTCTGCAAACTGCCGGTTCTGCGACAAAGAGCCGGAAACCCCTGAAGATCTGCTGATGAACTGCACAGCAGTCTGCAGACGCAGAATTAAGGCCCTGGGATCCATGTTTCCTCACAGGGATTGTATCGCCTCACTAGCACCCAGCAGAATTTTAAATTTATCAACATGCTGGGCCTAGATGATACGATATGACTTAGGAGAGCGCACAATAGACCATAGGTCGCGGTGCATACCTCATAATTAATCTATAAATTCTATTTAAATTACGTATTTTTTCGATTTAAAATTAATATTATTTATAATTATATTTTTATATAATATTTTTATTTTTCTTATATAATACTTATATTTTTCACTTTTATATCCACTAACACTTCACTAATACGTTTTTAGACATTTTTTTTGTTTTATATGATGCAAAAATAGCTTTATTTCAATATTTAAATAATTCTTCAATTTTATTAATTTTAACAATAACAAAAGGGTTGTAATTGCAAATAACAAGTGTTGCCATACTAATATATTTTGCAAACGAAGAAAAATTAAATAAAAAAAGAGATTATACCCTAAATACAGGAACCATAATTGTTGATTGACACTAATAAATCTTTTAGTTTCCTTGACTTGAAAATTATTAATTGTAGGACCTAAAAACAAAAAACAAACTGACCATTTGCACAACGGATATAGATACATGAGTTGATATTTTATCCAACTACATTTTATGTATAGCACGTACATAATTTAAAATTTTAAAGTAGTTTTCAAAATTATATACCCTGTAAAGTTGTTAAATATATTTAACATTTATTAACAACAATATAAATTTTGGGTTTCACTATTTTTGAAACTATTGAACAAATACATTTAAATTCTGTATACTGTTCGTGCAGTCTACAGGTTAGAAGGAACGGTAAATGTATAGTTTAGGTCCCCCAACTAAGAAGGCCTCAAAAATGAAATTTACAAATCCGTGGGCGGAAAGTGAACTTTTTCAATAATTATATTATTTTATAAATTTTTTGAAAACAAAAAAAAACGTTTTTTTTTTTATAAATATGCATTAAAAATAAAAAATTGTCATACATTTAAATTAATTATTTTATTTTTTCCGCTGCTGAAAGGAGTTCGGTACAAAAGAACTATGGACACCCTGGTTTTGGACCGACCAGAGTTATTTTTTTGAAGCCGAGGGCCGCCAGTGATCGCGGCGTGTTTAACTCGCTGAACTGGAAATTACAGTTAAGTGATCTGAATTCTGCAGAATTTTGCCGCTTCAACAACAACAACAACCAAGTGACTTGAAAAATATGTGCAAAGTGCGTTAAATATATTTGTAAATATATACATAAATTATTGAAAAAAAATTCACTTTCCGCTCACGGAAATGTAATTTTCGCGTAAAATTCAGACGATTTAAAAAAAAAAATTATTTTTGATGCCTTCTTAGTTGGGGAACCTAAACTATACATTTACCGAAGAAACTTACCAAAATTTTACAGAAGCAATTAGAATGCAATTTCCTTTCTCTTTGGTATATTAAATTTAAGTTTTCTTATTTTACGTAATAAGTTGACTATCTTTAGCTTTATGTGCGTAAATGTGTATGTAGATAATCAAACACTTTTTTGTTTTTGTATTTGAAAGTAATTTTTTATATAAAAAAAATTGTTGGGATCTTATTGAACTTATCTGATATTGGGAATATTTATTTATTTATTTAGAAGAGATTATTCCACTTATGTATACATTGGGAATTTTCCTGTACTAGTGTACAGGAAAATACCATTTGAAAAAAAACGATGATGGTTGTAGGAATATATCTATATATGATGGTAAATCATAATATTGAGATTACATATAAAACTACTGAACATTTTAAGAGCCTCACCCGTTTTATAATTTACTGATCAAATATAATGTCTGATGTGTAAAGCAATATTTTCATATATGCAGACGAGATGAAAGTACTAGTTTGACATTTAAATTTTCAATTGCTCATTCTAGTATCCACTTTGTTATTTCCAATATCCCAACCGTTCCTCACAACGATACTAATGTGGTAAATATGTATTTGAGAGATATATATGGATGTATATATATATATATACATATTTGAGAAATTTAAAAAGAAAAACATTTGAAATGAAATGCTAAGATTACAAATTATAAAGAGTACTATATATAATGGAGAAAAACACAAAAATAAATAACAATATTCGCTTTGGTTAAACATCAGTATTTTTATTTCATTGGAAAGTTGAAGTACTGGAAAATAAGCGTTTTCGTTTACTATTACTACGTCCGCCATTTTAGTTAAGGTTCTATCGAGATTTTATTCGTAAAATAGAAGACAGAAGTGAGAAAACATAAGTATGTACTCAAGTATCGTATGTAACGAATTTTAGAGAAAGGCAGAGACCAGGTAACGCACAAAATAGACGAAAGCAAAATAGGAAGTGCTGCCATTTGTATTTTAGATACCTATATATTTCAGATATAATCATATGGTAATTGTTTTTAACATTAATATACACAAGACGATATGTAATACAGCAAGTTTTCCAAATGTATTCTCACCTGTTTAAGTTGCATATCATCACACGAGAATCACACTAGGCAGAGGTTTAAAAGTAAGATTGAGTAATAATTGCAATATAACATTTATTATGTTAAGTGTAAAATGTTAAACTTGTTTTTTTTTATATATTCGGAAATCTTTTCACTTATGAGTATATCACTTCAAATATTATTATTAGATGCTTTGAACAAAACTTTACAACGAATAACATAAAATTTTCCCTTTTTTGATGCATGGCTGCAATTCACAATTTTTTTCTAGGCATTTGTTGTTTTTATTTAAAACAGTAAACTATTTCAACTTTCATTATTTATGTTAAAACCAATTAGACATTATATTTATAAACAAGCGACGTCATGTTCTTTTTTTGAAAGAAATGAAACATTATCCCATATAGGGGAACCGGAGCAGGGTATTGCATTACACATCCATGCATATATCAGGCAAAAGTTTTTATAGCACATTTGTATGTACATATTATTTTCTATGCCGAAGTATATACGAAAATATTCTATTATTTACACCAAGTGTAAGACACACGTAAATAATATTCTTCTATGACTACAACTTTTTATAATGGATTTTTTAACTGTCTCTACGTTGGTTTACGTCTTCCAACAAATATCAAGGAATTGCCACACCACCATTTATCAATGGCGCCGACTTTCATGGGGTTTACTATGATGCGTTCTCGCTTTATAATTTTTGCCACTAACTTATTGCTTACAAATCTTATTTTCTTTTTTATATATAAGCCCAGCACTTGGTCAGTAAGTTATTGTAATTTTAGTATGATAAGAGTTTATATAAAGACCGTAGGTTGCCGTTTTTCTCTGAGCTATGCCTGATATTCCACATTCTCATAAACTTTACATTTTAGACACAAATGAAGGCAGAACCGATGTATTAACGAGTGAATGGACGAACATCACTTTGCTAAACGACAAGTCGCTTATACGATAATCATATTTTCTCACAATATTAATATCCTCAATACTATAACACTCTTTTTACAATTTAACCATTATTGTTTAAATAATTAATGCAATCGCACACGGTTCCATAAAAATATTCGTTCACTAAAATTTTCGACCACAATAACAACCGCCATTTGCATTCACCTTCCAAACGATTTTGGAAAATGAAAATTGTGTTGGAAGCAATTTTCCAATACGGGTTTCCCTACCTTGGAATCAACATGGTGATGCCATCTAACCCCAAAATATACTTTTTTTAGGGCAGTTTTCTCAATATATGGTAAAGCCAGAACCAGAACTTTACCGGCTACATGTTGAAAAATTGTTTTCTCAATATCTGGCTAGCAACCATTTGTCAGTTAAGTTCTGGTTAACTTTACCGAAAGAAGAAGTCTTAGTTAGTTTTTAACCAGAACGTGAGCTGACATCTGTCAGCTGTAAAATCTATAAGAACAATTAGCTGTATAGACGGCGTTCAGACAAGGACTCTTTTGAAACTCATTATCATTATATATTAGGCATAGTTGCATTCGTATATGCATATTACACACAAAAAAGGAGTAATAACATTTAAATTTCCGAATATAATCTTAATATTTATTTTAAACTGAACGCTGTTACAACCATTAAAATAATTTCAAAATGAAAAGAACGATATATCGGCTTTTGTTGCACTGGCGAGAAGTGCTAAAGCCGATATATCGGCCCGCGCCTTGTGACGCTTTACTATTTGCATTGCGGGAGAACTCTAAATTTGTAATGCGTTATAAGTGATCTAATTTCATCACAAGATAATTAAAAAAAAATATTTTTTTGTTTGAACTCTTTTTTGAGCCGAATCTAACATAAATACCGTACCTTCAAGTTATGTTTTGCTTTTGTTATGTATTATTATTTATCTTGTTACAAAATATATATTGGAAATACAAAGTATATACTTTATAATAATTGACCCATACACAATTATGATAAAAAGATGACTGTTTGTGTGTGCAAATACGTTTTCTACAAGATATCTCAAATTCATTTCATTTACAATCGTTTATACCTTTGTTTTTTCTATAATTTTCAAATGAATTTGAAAAAATTAGTGTCATTGTTTAGTTCTGTATTTCATCCACAATACGAATATTTGATGTAAATATTGTTTCTCGTTTGGTTTTTACAAGCATTTTTCCAAACCCAAATTCGGCCGGTTTTTTTTCGCATAGGCACCTCTATTTCGCCCGGCACTAAAAAAGTTAAATCTATCATCCAGTTAAGCTAACAGCGGTAAAGGGTACTATAACCCGACGAGTTTATATATAATATAAGCTATGCTCGATTCGCCAAATGTTGGAGAGTAGCGAATCAAACAAACTATACCAACATCTCATCCCATTCACCCCTTAGTTTTGTTTTCTATAAACTATATAACCAATTTTAAATCTTATATTTATATAATAGAAGTAAACAAGCAAGGAAGAGCTAAGTTCGGGTGTAACTAAACATTTCATACAGTTACAACTTGCAGGTGTTGGGAAAACTTAATATTAAAAAATTTAGCGAAAAAGTTCAACTTCATTGTTCAACGAAATGGTGAATGGATTACAATCAAATTTGGTATCATATTAACTTATTTTGAAGCTCATAGACTCACTTATTTTATTACTATATGTTACGAAAATTATTTTACGTACCAAATTTGGTTATAATTGGTGGAGTAGGTTCGGAAATATATGATTTCACCTAAATATGGGCGGTGCCACAACCATTATCCTATATACGGGGAGTGGGCGTGGTAATCATTCGAATTCATCCTGATAATTTTTATATATAAAACCCTATATCAAACTCGATTATTTTTAGGTGATACAAACAACATGTTGTAAGACTATAAAAATTGTGCATAAGGTGGCTTCAGAATGGGTACATCAATGACGGAAAAGTATGAGAATAAAATGTCGTACAACGTAGAGGTATGCCACAATGAATGCGTTGCGCAAGTAAACATAAATCAGCTGTTCTTTATTACCGCCACATAATTCCAATATTTTTCCTCGGCCAATTAATTATGGTATTCCATTATACTTTTTTCATACAGACAAGGATGCATTTGCTCTGCCTCGATTAATTTAAAATCCATTTTTTTGCCGTATGCAAAAACTTGAGATTTGGTCTACGCAACTCTTCACCGCTTGTGTACGCATTGTCAATCTGTCACCCTCTATATAAATGCACACATTCAATTCAGCATACTTTTGCCAGAGAACGTAAAATATAGAGAAGGTCCAACTACAGACCAGCGTGTGAATTGTCAAAACCTAACAAAATGCGATGAGCGTGTTTCACCACAGTCGGCTCGGAAGGGGAAATTTTAACAGTGACGCGTGAACAGAGCTGAGCATTGTATGAAAATTATGCTCAGAAGTTTGCATTGATATTACAGCCGCATGTTAGCTTATATTTTTATACGTTTACTAGCTGACCCGGCCACGCGTTGCTGTGGCTAAAGTTTTTGTTATATTACATTATAGTAAATAATCTAAGAGGAACAATAAGAGAACATCAGTCACGGATCCACTATGCTTTTTCACACAGATGGTATTTGTAAAAATATATGGTGATCTCCTTATTTGACTTTCTACTACTATAACCCTTTAGTACAATGAAATTATTTACGACGAAGCAAAGACGAAATGTTGATGTTGGTATACAATTCACTGGATTGAGATTTGAAGGGAAGTACGTTGAACACAATTAATTAAAATGTTCTTACACTTGATATTAAGCAGAAATCCATACAAAGTAAAAATTTATCAGATTTATTATTTCCATTTAATTTTATAACAAATAAATATATTACAGTATAATACAATAAATAACATGTGACACTTAAACTCATGAATGAGGTAGGCAAGGCAGACAGTCGTAACTTTTAAACATTAATATTTATTTTTGAATTATAAATACTTTCAATTTCAATTTAATTTAACACCAATCGGTGCACAATGTTTTTGGTTAACCTGTCTTTAGCTAACACAAATAGATTCGACGGTTTCCAACATGTGAACACGCAACATATAGTTGCCCATGAGAAAAGCATGGATTTTCCAAATCTAAACCACAAATGGACATTGTTTGACCTTGAGATTATTTATAGACACGGCGAAAGCTAAACGAATTGGAAACATTAGCCTTTTGAAGGGTATGGTAGAATCTGATGGTATCATCGGAATACGTGGCAGCAGGACACTTTTCCTTTAAACTTCCCAGCCAAAATGGTTGCTTCAAGAATGTTTCCGGTGATCTTTTGATGACCAAACGCGTACCGTTACATAATTGAGGTGGATTCAAATTTCGGAGG